GTGGTAGCATGAATCGGTAATTCATTTCTATTTATAGCTGATTAATATTCCATTGTGTGAATATACTACATTTTGTTCATCAATTGATGAACACTTGGATTATTTCTACTTTTTGGTTATTATGAATAATGTTGCTGTGAACTGGTGTGCAGATTTTTGTGTGAATGTGTGTTTTCGTGTCTCTTGGTTATATGCCCAGGAGTAGAATTGCTGGGTCATATAGTAATTGTATATTTAACTCTTTGAAGAACTGCCGAACTGTTTTTCAAAGTGGCCACACCATTTTACATTCGCACCAGCCGTGTATGAGGGTCCCACAGTATCTCCACATCCTTCCCAATACTTATTTTCCATTTTTTAAAAATTATTATTATAGCCATCTTAGCAGGTGTGACATGATATCTCATTGTAGTTTTGATTTGCGTTTCTCCAATGACTAACGGTGTTAAGCATTTTTTTGTGTACTTATTGGCCATTTGTATATCTTTGGAGAAATATCTATTTAGATCTTTTGCCCGTTTTTAAAATTGTGTTGTGTTAGCATCGTTAAGTTTTAGGAGATCTTTTTATACGCTATATATATACACACACACATATGTATATACTATATATATGTATATACACACACATATATACATACATACATACACACATATATTTTATCAGATACATGATTTGCAAACATTTTCTTCATTTCTTTGGATTATCTTTTCACTGAATTGATAGTGTCCTTTGAGGCACAATATTTTTAATTTCGATGAAGTCTAATTTACCTTTTTTTTTTTCTTTTATCTTGGTCACTTATGGTTTGGGTCTGAAAAAAAATTAAATGGGCATTATAGGATCACATTTGCAGTTAAAGATTACTTTGATCATAGGTGAGAAAGAATGAAGGACTGAACAGGGAGTAGTTGGGAAGATAAGGGCTGGGGAAAAAAACATTTAGAAGGTAGGCTCAGTGGGGTTTGGTGACCTGATTTGGGGGTGTGCAGGAAAGAGGGGGTTCACTTCACTTGCAGTTCTCTAGCTTGTGTGGCAGATATGTGGTTGTGCTATTTACTAGCGAGGGAGCATAGAACTTGGAGCAAGATTGAGGAGGAACAGTTGTTAACAACTGGATGTGCAAATAATGGAGCCAGAAAGGATGTCCAGGGCTGCAAGCTAGGCTGCCCTCAGAACCTGCTGATTAGCTACACAGGCCAAAAGTGCCTCCAGGCCCAGGAGCCACTCCTCTTCTTGTTCCTGAGGTCTCCTTCTGCCTCTCTGGTATCTTTCGAAGCAGTAAAAATATGTATAACCGGGAAGTTCTCCTACTAATGCATTTTACATTTGCTGAGGTTTGCAAAGAGTCTCAACCTCGTTAGAGGAGGGCACACTACTGAGGACGGGTAGGTAGGATTCTTCTTTTTACCATTCTCTGCCCTTGAAGGTCATCTCGTGGTCAAACCATCATGACCATTTGTTCAGTTCCCCTGGAAGAGAGTCCAGATTTATCTGTGATACCACTGTGGCCAGTACAGGAATGCTCTATAATATCTGCCATGGGTGGGACTATATCCCAGCCGTCCAGGACTGAAGCACCCCTTCTCCCAGCTGTGGGGGCTGATGGCTACAGACTGCCTACCTGGAGGCCTTCTCCAGGGCTTGCCCTCTTCGAGCAGGGCTGCCTTACCCAAGGGGTGCCCCTTCCCCAGGATAGCTGCACCCAGTGCAGTTTGGGTCAGGGGAGGCCCAGGCCCTCACTTCAATATGGAGCAGCTCTGAAGGGCATCTAGGTGCAGTGTTCCCTTGCTGTGACTGCCTTGCAGTTCCCCTTCTCTGCCCAGTCTGGTTTCCTTCACTCTCCTGCAGAGTGCTCCTCAATAAACTTATATGCACATCCCCATCTCAGTGTCTGTTTCCTTGGGAACTAGACCTGTGATAATGCCTTTTCCTCAATTTCAGTGTCTGACCAGCCCGAGGAAAGGTTGCGTGTGACATTTGCTAAGACTTTAGGCCAGTCTGTCTCAGAGCTGCCCTGCCTGTCCTTGCATCCTAAGGTCCTAGAAGGTACATGGTAAGGCTGAGTCCTGCAGGAGAGTCCTGAGTGATCTGTGCTGCCGTGTGCCTTTGGTGGTTGTCGGAGCTCCAAGGACCATCTCTAACTGCCCCATCTCCAAGGAAGACTAGTGCTCCCAGGAACTTCATTTGAATCTATTTGCAACTCAATTCCACACACCCCATTTCTAGAGAATTTTTTTTTTTTAAGATGAGAGGTGCTTGGAATGTATGAAAGTGGTTTCCTTTTTTTAAAGAGAAACGTTAGAAATCTCGTTACTCGGTGTCTGATAGTGCAGTTTTTGAACTGGAGAAGCTAGAAGCAGAAGTCGAACTGGCCAGTAGAAAGGTTGGTGAAGCGGAAGGTACTCGGAACTTTTAACAGTCATCAAAGTACAGGGAGTTGGTCTTAACCTACTTGATAAATTGCATTGCTCTTTTCAAATGATTTAATCTCCCTCTCTCCATTTGTTAATTTGTAAAATGAATATAAAAATACCTGCCTGTTATTTACCTAGCAAGCTCCTGTGAGAAGTTGCGAAGCTACTTAAGGGTTCTTTTTTCTCTTTTTTAAATAAAAGATCTTTCTGGAATATTATTACTAAGCTTGAGAGAATTATTCCAAAATCAAGAAGGAAGGATGACGTGTGTAATTTGAAACAATATACTGATTTATAGGTTTACCAAGCCCAACAGTCTGCAGCACACATTGAGGCGGTCCCCACCTCACCTCCATGCTCACCATTTGGTTCTTGAGATCATGATGAGCCAAAATGTTGGATGTAAAGGGCGGTGGGAGCCTCTGAGAGGCCAGCAGCCCTAGTTACACGCAGAGACCCTTCTCAGGGCGTTCAACCTTTTGGTTATCTCTTATGTCCTCTCGTTTTACTTCTGACCCACAGTAGTACCAGCCAAGTAATGTGTATGTTTCTAGACACCAGGCTGAGCATGCCTCAGTCTGAAAGTTAATGATACGGAGCCAGGCAGCTTTGCAGAAAGCCTGTGTCTGACTCAGGATGCAAGATTCAGAAATTGCCTTCTGTTGCTGCTTTTCAAATGCTGTCAAACATCAGTCTTCTAGACAGATATGCCCCTTTTCTCCTTAAAAATCATCTGTTTATTAGAATAACTATCAGATATAAGACTTTTGGTCTTTTCCATGTGTTGTAATTTTCTTAGACCTGTATTATATTATTATCTAATATTGTATACGATAAGACATAAGACAGTTATGAGAGAAATAATAACTTTTATTAAGTGCTTACCATGTGCGAGGCCTGTGATAAGCTCTTTAAGTGCATTATTACATTTAATTGTTCAGGTGAGGAAACCAAGGTAGAGAGATTAAGGAATACAGGGCTTGGTTTAGTAGAATTAGGATTTAAACTGGCAGTCTGTCTCCATGTGTGCATCCTTAGCCATTTTGGTGTATCACAGCAGCTTTCAAACATATGACCACAACTTACATTGACATATTTTACATGGCAATACAGAACCACATACCTTTCTAACTGAAACATAGGTTTCACAGAACATTGCTCATCCTCAGCGTAGGCAGTGTCCTCCGGTTCTTTTCCGGCTCTCCTTACTCCTTCCCTCCTTCTCTTCCTTCCTTCTTTTTTTATTTTTTTATCACAACCTCCCAGTTGAAAAACAGTGCAATACTGCCTTCCACTGTTCATTCATCAGATATTCATTGGAGCCTCCTGTGTGTCTGACACTGCATAGGCACCAGGGATACAAAAGTGAAGACAGTAGACAGGGTCCCTGTCCTCATAGAGTGTGCAGCCAGAAGGTTTTACACATGGAAAAAAATATATATTGTGTATGGAAACCCCTCCAAATCTAAGAAGAAATTATTAGATACCAAGCTTACATTATCTGGTAAATATACAACTATTTAGTAACATTAATTAAAGGACTATAGAAGAGAGGCATAGTTCATAATAAATAATTAGTATATTCAGACACTAGAATGTCATGCAGCATTTAAAGTAATGACCTAGAGCAATGTATAGCAATATGGATACCTCTCATACACACAAAAACGAGTAACAAAAGCATAATAAGCATAGTATTATACAGTACAGAAACATCTTATAATACAATACAGTATAAAACAGTATTGCAAAAGCATAATACAGTTTGTCATCTATAAAAAATTTTATATATAAAAAGCATTCACAGAATGAGCACACCAATTTTAGTGTAATATATATTACCATCTAGGTTGGGAGGGAAGTTGAGGCTTTAACAAATTTTATAAAGTAAAAAGATTTAGCAAATATGAAGAATTTAACCACTGTTAAGTCTGTGGGTTCATGGTTATCACTTTTGGTGCTTTTCTGTGTATTTTAAATGTTTAATGATTAAAAATGAAAAAGGTAAAATGAGTTTCCATGCTGTGCCACTTTTCTGTCTTGTGCATGCATATTTCTATATTCTATGCCTTCAACTGGTATTCTCTATCACATTAATGTTGTATTCCTTTAAGGAAACCTTGTAACCACAAGTTCTGTCTGTATGGCTAAAAAGATTTGGGAGTTTATAGGGGATGGAAGGTCTCGGGGGCGTCGTTCCTTGTTTGCCAGCAGAGGGTGCTGTTACACAGCGGATGTGAGGTTAGGCTGCTACATCCAGGCTGCTCGCCAGCTCTCCTGGTGCAATACCTGAGTCTCCCAGTGTGGAGTGCTGTTCCACCTAAGTGCGGGAAAGAAGTGTATTTAAATATGTGCAGCCTTCCCTATGCTGGTAGGAGGGGGCACAGAATCCACTCACTTGTCCATTTACATATATCATATTTCTCTGAATATGGTTATTTCTGAGGCTAACAATACAGAAATGATGTCTGGTATGACATATGCCAAGAACTTCCTTTGCCGTTGAGTAGATAAGCCTGATAGTGATATGTGGTAAATTTTTTACTGTTAAATTGACCAGAGAACCTTCCTTTTATTCTCTAGGTGGAAAAGGATTATTCTTACTTGAAGGAGATATGTGATCGTCAGGCAGAACAGCTGAGCAGAACCAGCCTAAAACTGCAAGAGAAAGCATCAGAGAGTGATGCGGAGATTAAAGACATGAAGGAAACCATATTTGAATTGGAAGATCAGGTGGAACAACATCGAGCTGTCAAGTTACATAATAATCAACTCATCAATGAGCTGGAAAGTAAGTAAAATCAAGCCCTGGTGAAATATGGATCAGGAGTGAGTAGAACACGAAAAAAACCAGTAGTAGTGGGTGACAGTGGGAGAGTATATAAGAACGTTTATGGAAAGTTTTTTTTTTTTGAGTGTTCTAGAATCTCCTAGGAAAAATGGCAATTAAGAAAGACAGAATAATTAATCTCTTAAACTAAGTTGAAAACCAGGTCGTGTAGAAGAAAAGGTTGTTGAACATGAGTCAGCAATGTAGGGTGATTATAAAAAAGAGCAAACACATTTTGGAATGTTATGTATACTGTGTGTGAGCCACATTGCTGACTACTCTCATCAAGTATTGACAAGGTGTCATATGTTGGATCTGATGGATGAAAAGATGGGCGACAGATGGTCAGACTGATTGGAACAATGTGTGCTCATGGTGTCAGGGAGACAACAATTCCAGCATGTGTGCCATTGATGGTAGGATATCAAATAACTTATAAAGTTGGCCACTTTGTTACTGAAGAGGCACCAATATATGGCTTATTTATTAATTCATTGTTTGCTTTGAATAGGGTAAGACATTTTTAAACGAGATTAAACATTGCCTGCTTTGTCCAAGTAAGTCTTATCGTATGATCACATCTAATGTGTTTGCTTTTGTAGCAAAAGAATTAATGCACAGAGCTTTTAGTGACACTAACCATTGCTAAAAATAGCATAGCCAGTTGCCTGAAAAGTTCCCCAACATGCACAGTTCATCCTGATTATTCGTGGAAGCCATATTTGCAATTTCACTTACTTGCCTAAATTTATTTGTAACCTCAGTACTCTCCACTTTTTCACAGTCATTAGTGAACACATACAGTGTGATAAAAAATTTGAGTGTCCGAAGATACACTCCCAGTTCAGGTTGAACTCAGGGACACTCCGATATCTTGTTTCATCTCCCATACTATAAACAAGGGTCACCTTCCCAGTTTATTTAGTGCCATGTTTTTTGCATTTTGTGCTTTTTGTTGGCGATTTCACTGTTTAAAATGGCCCCCGAGTGTAGTCTGGTCCTAAAATGCTGGTTAGTGTCTCTAAGCGCAAAAAAGCTATGATGTGCCTCGTGGAGAAATATGTGTATTAGATAAGCTTTGTTCACGCGTGAGTTAGTGGTATTGGCTGTGAGTTCAGTGTTAACATGTCAGCAGAGTTCACTGAATTGATCAGTGTTAGCTAAAACTTCCAGAGAAGGGAGAGGAAATTCACCAATCTGTATGTGAGACTTTCTCCAGGAAGTGCTGGGTGACAAAGCTGTGTAAAATATAGAAAAGCGGCTAAGTTTGTGGCTTCATGCAATAAAAGCTGATGGGGTCGGGGGGCGGCGGGGAGTAGTAGACAGCACTGTTGTGAAGCCAAAAACCAAAGAAATTTACAGTCACATTTTCTTGGGTCAGGAAAGCGTTAGACCCTTCTCAGCTAGTGCTGGCCAGCCCACGTGGTTCAGAAGGTCACATACTAGTGAGAGAAGTTAAAAACTTGCAGGTGAGGCAGGTAAGGCACATCAGGAAGCTACAGGAGAATTCGTAAAATACCTGTTGACTGTTAGGCAGGAAAAGGGTTGCATGGGCGGGCAGGTTTCCAGCACTGATGGGATAGGCTTTTTAACAAGGGTGCTGGCAAACAAGCCTCTATAACACAAATAGCATTTTGTTTGATGAAAATGTTGTGACCAGAAGCTCACAGAACCTAACCCTGAATTTCCCATAGGAAAAATAGTTTAATATTCTCTAATTCAGTGTGCATGACAACTTTATGTAACTAATACAAACAATAAGAATCGACTGTGTATTCTTCACCTTGATAGTTGGTAGTGCCAGGGTTCCATTCTTCATTAGACGTGGTGGAATTATAGAACAGTGGCATTCAATGTCAGTGTCGTTTAGAGTGTTCTCAGTAGTCTAGCTTGAGAATACAACAAAAAACTAGCTGCCATAGTCAGTGCACATTTACAAACACAGCACCATACTTGAAAAGTGTAAAGGCAAAGAAGAGAAGTCCGGTTTTGTTTTGTTTTGTTTCGTTTTGTTTTTCTTTTAGTGATATACTGCTTTTGAGAATTTGGTTGTGTTGTCCCCCAAACCCTTAAAAGTCAGCACAGACACACCAAGAAAGAAGCCTGTAACTAAAAGTCCAGAGTAGGTGTCAAGCCCAGTCCCTGTGGTTGTAGCATAACATACCTAAAACTGAAAATAACACAGACCATGTATCTTTTAAGAAGCTTTTTAACTTCGTCAGGGATGTTAAGGTATTAAGATGTATTTTCACTAGGCGGCCCAGGGACACACAAATCCAGACTTAAACAATCACTCCTCCCCATAAGGTCCTTGAAATAGAAAAATAAAATGTTAGAGAGTTTTCTCATTCTGTAGCATTGACCCCAAACAAATTCTCAGGCCCCACATGCTGAATTAGAACTACTGGGGTAGGACCTGACCCTGTGGGGTTTTATTTTTTTAAGCTCCTCTGATAATTCTGATTCATATCCATAATAAACAACTACTGATCTGAAATGGATCATGAGGAAGCATTGAAGAATTTTAACTAGATAATGGGCGTGATCAGATTTAAATTTAAATCACTCTGATAGCAACATGGAAAGAATTGGAGGCAGAGTGTGAGGGACTAAAGATGATCATAATTAGGAAGAGGCAGTCAAGTCACCCGTGAGCTGTTAAAGCGCACACACCCATATCCTGTCTGCCCTTGGAGAGTCTGATTCTGTGGATCAGAGTCTATGCTTTTGAAGTCACTTGGGAACAAGTGCTTCTGAGGTTTAACTGTGATTAAGAACTGTAACTCTAGAAATGGGCCTAAAAGTCACAATAGTAATAACTAGTCATATCCTCTGTTACATAGAAGCCTTCTACCTCACAGCAGTAAAAGGACATTCAGGATGATGTATGCAAATATGAGGGAAGCCAAGAGTAAGTGTAATAAGTGTGAGTGACTCTTTAGATCCCTTCCCATAGTGCTACATGGTTGTACAGCCTGTCATCTGAGGGTGTAACCTAACAAAACACCACCGGTTTTCTAATTCATCTCATTTTCTATCTTGGGAGAACCTTCTGCTTCTGGCTCCCGGTTTTCAGGGTGCCAAGAATGAAATTTGTAGTAGAATGGGTGGATTTTAAAGCCTATTGCCAAATCTGGATCTGATCCTTTGCTACCTAGCTTGCCTTCTCCCAAGAGTCTCGCAACTCTGCCAACTCCTGTCTGACTTGTTTATTTCTAGGCAACGTGATGAAGCTAGAGGAACAGAAATCAGACCTGGAAAGACAGTTAAAGACTCTGACTAAGCAGATAAAGGTGAGATGCAGTTACAGCAGGGGTTGGGGACCATCTCCATCATTTTCCTAAAAGTATCTCCCTCTTAGGTTTGGAAACCTTTGAAAAATTACCCTGATTACTCTCTCTAGCCTATTTTCTCATAGTACATTTCCATGGCAGGGGCCCCGGAACCACAAATTAGTATTGGCAGGAAGTAAAATTAAAGCAGCCATTCAGTTTCAAGATGGAGAACTCTGATAACACGAAGGTGTAATTCCCACCTGTGCCTTTTTCCAGTAGTGAGCTACCATTAAAGCAGTGCCTCACTAAGTACCGCCCAGCCAGTCATTCTCAATGATTGGAACAGGGGACCCTGGAGCCCCCTGTCTGGGTGCCAGCCCTGGTAGCATCTGACTCAGGTGTGGACTCTGGCATTTTCAGGAGGAGACCGAGGAGTGGAGGCGGTTCCAGGCGGACCTGCAGACTGCTGTGGTGGTGGCCAACGACATCAAGTGTGAGGCCCAGCAGGAGCTGCGCACTGTGAAGAGGAGGCTGCTGGAGGAAGAGGAGAAGAACGCCAGGCTGCAGAAAGAGCTGGGGGACTTGCAGGGCCACAGCAGGTGGGTCACAAGCACAGCCGCGCCTTCGTGAGTCTGAGGGCTTCCGCACAGTGCTTGGCTTCTCACTTAATCATCATGCATGGCGTTCGTGCCGCTTTTATGTCTCTCCGTGCCGAATGTTTACTCTTTTCTAGGCTCACTCTACCATGACTGCCACTGCACAACTAGGAATATCCCATCCAGTGCCAGTCACTGCCCTTTTCTGACTGAAGGTGATGAGGAAACTCTTCACTTACATATGTACAAAAGCTCTAGCCAGGTGTCTCCTGGATTGAAGGAATAGAAGTCATGTCTAGGATCCATACTACTTAAAGCTAGTGTTTATTAGCACAGGGACGCGCACATTTCGCGGGCAGCAGCCACACCTTTCACAGTCAGTCGTATACAGCAAGAGAAGCTGGACTTGACCGTAGGGGGACTTGCCACTAGATAAAGGACTTGTTCCTTCTGGCCCAGGGACATGCTTCTTTATTGGCAACTCCTGTGGGCTACCTCAAACAGCCCTTCAAATAACCCACTTTGTTAAAAAGGATGAGTGTGGAAAACATACATCTGGCTGATATGTAACTTTCCCTCCTGTTCTTAAGGGAGGGAAAACGCATAATGTATGGCCCCAGAGAGCTTTCTTAACAGCAGAGTTTCAGAGGGAGGTATCCCTAAAGTGAGCTCAAAGTTAATTATTGTTTAGAATTTAAGTGGTTTACAAACAAGATTATAAATAGTGTTTTAGGCTTTAACTAATGCGGTGTTATCTTTCCCAAGTCAGGGATAAATGTCCTTAAGTTTGAGATTCTTGGATATTAGGAAATTATTTTGAATTTCCAGATGTCTCTCAAATATGAAATGTAGTATTTCCAAATGCTGATTTATGCAGTTTGTTCTTTTTATGTGTTCTCTAGGATGAGGAAGGTTGTTCATTGGCAAATTCTGAGCCTTTGGGTCTGACGTATTATGAAATTTCATGATGCTGAAAAGAGCAAATTTTTTCTCAGAATTCTGTTTCGATTCTCTTATAAAACTTGCTTCAATTGATCCCTCATTCCTTTGTTTATGAATTTTATATAAGATAGCCTTTAGAGAAGGATTAAGATTAGATGAGGAACTGAGTCCGCAATTCACTCTTGAAAAGCAAGATCATTATTTCATAGTCATACCTGTTCCCTCTGACCACCAAAGCATATGAATTTTAAAATAAGGTAGAAGAATAGGAAAACTAGATTGTATAGTGTTACCTATAAAATGTGAAGTCATTTTAGTTTATTTCGTGTCTGCTTTTATTTGTCCGTTCGTCTTACGTTTATATTGTATCTTTGGAAGAGGAACCAAATCCTGACTTGTGTTGCTTCATTTACAAGTTATAGATAAACAGTAAAAGACAAGTCTTGAGTTTGTGTAGTGTCTCTAATAAGTCATCAATTGAGATGTTGCATCTCTTACATAGATTCTAAGATATAGGCCAGTTATACAACTTGAACCCTGATAACATAGATCTCTGCATGCATCTTGACAATTTAGGACTCCGTATACTCTATCCTACATCTTCAAACTTAGGGTCATTTTTTTTTTTTAACCCAATATGTTTCTCTTTTGATTTTCCAGTGATTTGCATACCTACCTCCTAAATCCAGCAGTTTAATCCCTTATCACAAAACATTTCAAATTCTAGAACTGACACCAGTTCAGAACATGGCATATTACTGAAACTGTAGGCCTCAGTGTGTTTCTTGCCTATCATTGCATTGGGCAGGACTTCAGACATCTGCCAGGGCTGTTTTCTTGTCTGATTCTGCACTTCTCTGGCAAACTGTCTCTTCTAAAGAGTTGACTATTTGAAAGTTACTACTCGCTGATGGCTCAGTCACTTCCTGAACTTACCACATGATCAAGACTTGAAACCAGCTCCTACCCTCAAAGGTCCTGAAGCAACATAGTGTTTCCGTCTTGGCTGAATGAGTTTCTTGACTGAAACTCGATTTGACTTTGACAGTCATCTGAGAACTCAAAAGTCATTCTTGGTTCAGACACAGCCAAAGAACTTGCAGAAAATTCTCTGATGAGGTCCTCCAAGTACAACCGAGAAAAGGTAAGAGCATCTGAAAAACACTTTGATCGTAACACGGAATTAACTGATTCAGATTCTCATTTTGCATATGTGGGCATTCTTAAAGAACATAGGCTAGTGGGCAAGAAAATTAAATTAGCGTTTATTACCAAGAACTCAGTAACTAAAACATATGGCATATTATTTAACTTAGTATTTTAGATAACTCAAAAACTTAGCTCATTAGCAATCATCAGCCCTGTTATATTTTAAAAGTATTTTTATTTTGGAGTCAGAATAACTAATGTTAAGATATATAGGAAGATGAGTCTCTAGTCTCAACTTTGCCACCAACTGGCAAGGTTTCCTTCCCAGACCTAGCTCCTTCCTCTCTTAAATGAGGAGATAAGAGTAAGTCGTTTTGTAAGGCCCCTGTAAGTTCTGCTATTCTCTGAGACTAGTTGGTCAGCTGGCCTTTCTCTGATAGAAGAGTCAGGAGTTCAAATGTCAACAGTACCATCTTTCCAGTGCAATCCTTGGAACCTCCTTTACACAATGGCGTGTCCACGTTCTAGCTGGGCTGTGGACCCCGTCTTTCTCTTCCAGAAATTTCAACAAGCCAATGTAGTTTTTATGGACCCGAGTGTGATATGTTTTACTGGACATGAATAAGGATAAGGAATCACTTTTCAACTCTGACTTCTTCTAATTTTGAATCATTAAGAGAAAGACATTGAAATAAAGACTCTCATCAAAATTAAAACATCAAATCTTTTTTCTGAAATATTGAGTCCTCAGGCCTGGCAGACACAGAGACTACATGTGTAACTTGACTTAATGATTGGATGGGCCACATATAGCCTTTTTAAAGAAAGACATTGTTGATGAGCAGTATATGACAGGCTTCTCGAAGAGTAGCAGGAAAAGACCTATGTGGTTTTTCTCTTACTCCGAAACAGTAAAGACCATTAGTTTTTAGGTGGTTTACTTGATTTTTATGTGTGTATCATATGACACCAATAAACATCTCAAAAAAGAGGTCGTTAAAAACACTAATTAGCTGTGTCAGTTTCTAAAAATAGAATGTCTAAAATTCAAAATGTGTTTAGTGTGTGCCACTGGTTCTTGCGTTCTCACCTCTAAAGCAAGCAGCATGGCTGCATATCACTGCCAGACTCTCTGGAATTGGCTTTTAACTCTGTGTGCGCACAAACGTATTCTGCCCTAACGTCAGTCTTGTGCTTGTGCCACCCTTTGTGTTGTTCTTAATAGCTGTAATGCATCACAGACTCTCACTGAGTATTCTGGGGCTGTCACTCAAAGGGAAAGTGTGGAAGTTGGAGGTGTAGATTCTTAAGTCACTACGTTGTCTTTTCTAGCTCTCTTGCAGCACATGCTCTGATAAGCATCCCTGGCCCTGATGGAAGGAGACCAGTTCTCATGGAGATTCCTAAGCAGCTTCTGAGCATACCTCACATTAGCACTGTAGACCATCAGGGACCTATGGCATTTTATTTTGCCCTTGATGTAGAAACTGGTCCTCTGGTATCCCAACAAGCTTAATTCTTTCACTCTCATACTACTTATTTTTTCATAGTTTAAATTTGCACTTATGGATGGCATTAGATACAAAGACTTTAATTCTAAAGTATTATGTCTACTTCCTTGCTCCCCAACCCCCATCTGTAAAGATCTGCTTCGAAAAGTGTAGGCATGTGCTTCCCTTAGGCCTTTAGGATTTTTATGTCATAACAATAAGTGAAATCTTTTTTTTTTTTCTTTTTGGCCGTGACTATAGCATAGTAGAGGGAAGCACGAGTCACTCTGTAAATTACGGAGGGTCTGATTTTGTTCATCCTGGACATCTCTACTTTACCAACACAGTTGTCTGTTGGTGATGGTCCGGGGAGGAGCCTGGTAATGGCGTTTTGAAGTCTTTGGCATTTTCTGTCTGAAGACCTTTGACTTCCAAGAAAACTGAAACAATAGGAATTCAAACATGTAGGTCTTACTCTGGATATTAGCTTTGCTCTGTGGGACAAGTGTCAGCTGTTAATTCTTATATTTGTAGACAAATGTCATGTTGCATTAAGTAACTCCTTTACCAGCCTTTCCCCTCCCATTTCTATTTTCACAGCTCCATGGTCTCTGTCAGCTAGCAGAGCATTTGATGGAAGAAAGACAGCTCAGCCCTTGCCATGATGGGGATCTACAGCCATTTCTATATGAAAGGGGGAGTAATGTAGAGGAGAAATTCTCTATAAAGAGCCAGATTGTCTCCTTATAACGTCCATTGTTTTACAGAGTCATTGCAATCAAGTCTTATTACCCTTTTTCTACATTTTGGAATCAACTCATTACAAAAAGATGATTCTTTTTCTTTTTCTCAGAAGAGTCAGCAGGCTTTTATTTGGAGCATAAAACGAAATTGTTCTGAAAAAAAACAAAGTACAAGTCTGTTGTGGAAAAATTTTGATATGCAACTAGAGTGTTCAGAGAGAGCAGTAGCATAGCAAACTCAGAGCGCTGGCGGATGCCGCCCATGCTCGTGTTTTACTTTTTGGAGTTTATTTTTATGCTTCCTTTTGAGTACGGTATCTGATAATTTTGGAATTAACACTATTTAAGGTAAAATAGGAAGCTATCTGTGTGACGTCTCATTCTGAAGAAGTTAGTAAGTTCTGCTTCCTTTATATAATGGCTTGATCGCGTCTGTTCTAGCTGGGGTCTGACTTCATTACCTCATCTGAAACAAGCCACCCACTAAGTTTTGGGTTGGTTTCCAAAAATCTCGGTATTAGGCTTAACATAAATAGATGTTCGATTGATAATAAAGGATGTAGTTAAACCAGATAAGTTTATGTGGTGACAATGCTGCTTGAAGTCTAACTGAAAACTAATGAACAACAACTAACTACAGAGGATGCCTCATGAATAAAATTTACCCTGGAAACTTAAA